CTCTCTCTCGCTCTCTCTCTCTCTCTCTCTCTCTCTCTCTCTCTCTCTCTCTTCCTTCCTATCTTTGCTTCCATTCTCAATTTAACAACCATTCGAAATTCCCGGAATTTAGAAATATCACAAACCAAAACATGAAAAACAATACAAACGATGATGATGATGAAGATAATGATCGAAAATCATGAAAAAACGAAAAAAAAGCGAAATTTTTACGATATTTTAATTTAGTTAATCATGAACAAAACAGGAAAAAACTAAAAACTTATTGAAACTTTTGTGGAAAATATTCTGTGATTTTTTAATTCTCTCTGACCCCTTCTTCTTTCTTGTTTTTCATCATCTTTGTTGTTGTTTTTTAAATTTTATTTGTAATTGAAACAAAAAAGTCTTTATTTTTTTTTTAAATTTGTTAACAAAAAAATATTTTGTCATTCATATAAAACGTTACTGCAAAAAGTTTACATTATCACATTCGATTCATTCATTCATCAATCACGCCTGGAACCAAAAAATTCTGAAAAAAAATTTGAAAATTTCATCTCGGGAAAACAAAAAACAAAAAAACATTGCACTTAAAAACCGAACAAACAAACATTTGATAATTAATTAGTTGAATCAACTCTTTCACTTTCATTTTCACTTTCAACTCTTTTTTTCTTGCGCCTGGATATTGATTGATTAATCAGAAAATTACATAACAAACAAACAAAATTTTTTAATTAAACACGAAAAAACAAAACAAACAAAATCAATTATTATGGATCGATTTCAAGATCGTGCACAAAAATATTTTCGTTCAGCAAAATGTTGGTGGATTGGTAATAATGGTGGTGGTGGTGGCAATAATTCAAACAACAATAATAATAATACTGCCAACCAAAAACTAATAAATCATCAAAAAATAATGATGATTAATAATAAAAAAAATTTATCATCATCATCTTCGTCCTCGTCATCATCATCATCATCATCATCGTTATTATCATTAACAGAATCGAAACCGATTAATGATGATGGTAATAAAAATCCGATAATAAAATCATCACGTGATAATCAACAACATAATAATAATAATGGTAGAAAAAATTTACAATCAACAAGACCATTATCGCCAACAATCGCCATGTTTGATAATTTAAAACAACAACAACAACAACAACAAAATTATCGTCATCAATATGAATATAGTGTACCACAAAAATCACCACAACATCCAATAATACCAAAATTGAATAAGAATATTGTTGTTGTTGATGAAGATGAAGATGATGATGATGACGAAGACGACGACGACGACGATGATGATGATGATAATGATGATAATGGAATCGAGCTTATAAAATATTCGGCAGCTATTCCGCCACAAACAAAACAACAACAACAACATGAGGAAGAAGAGGTGGAAAAAGATTTACAGAATTTAGCATCAGCCGCATATCGACGATATCAAAGTCGTCCATCAAGAATACAAATGATAACAAATGATGAACAAAAATCATTACAAAAACAATATAATCATTATCAACAACAACAACAATTTTTAACTGTAAAATCAACCAATTTAAATAAACAACAACAATCACCAAAACAAAGAAAAAATATTCATAGTCGTCATCGTCGTCGTCGTAATCGTCGTCCATTGAAAATTGATCAACAATCAATGTATCCATATTTAAAAAATAATGAACCACAATTTGATGAATTGGTATTACGTTTTGAACAACAACAGGAAAAACACCTGAATCATAATTCAGAAAATATTTCTATTGATATTTCAATTGTTGATGAAAAAATTGGACAAAAAGATGAAAAAAATGATGATCTATGTTCATCATATGATTATCATTTAAGGACAACAGATTTTTCAAAAACAACATTAAAACCAATGATTGATGGTTCACCAATAACAGCATCAGATCGTAGACAACAATTATCTAGGCTTTATTCATTTGATCATCGTGATCATGATGATAATGATGATGATGATGAACAAAATCAATTTATCGATAATCATCAACAGCAAGATAATATCAATATTGTTGATATTAATAACGATGATAATGATGACCATTTTGTTGTTGTTGATTCATCCGGATATCCACAACAACAACAACAACAAAATTGGTTAAAATATTCAAAAAGACCACCAAATATTGAACGTTCAAATACTGAACCATCATCACAATCAATAATATCTGTTATAAATGTTGGTGGTGGTAGTAATATTGTTGGTGGACAACAACAATCGCAACAATCACCATTACATTTAACACATTCACCAATTAGAAGATCACCATTAGATAATATTAATAATAATAATAATAATAATGGATCAATGTTAAGACAATCATCATTTGATCATCATTATTTAACACCAACATCTGCCTATCATCATCAACAATATCCATCTTCATTAAGTTTGCATCATTATCATCATTTACAGCATGGTGGTGGACATGGACAACAACAGCAAATAAAATCACCATCAATTTATGGTACAAGTTCATCGGCATCATCATTATTATTAATGATGGCCAATTCTACAAATACAAATACAAATAATTTACAACAACAACAACAATTACATGGAAATGGTTGTCATTATGAATCAACATCAAGTATTAGTTCAAATAATAGTAATTGTAGTGCTGCATATCATTATATTTATCCACCACCACCTCAACAGCAACAACATTCATCGGGTAATAATTCAATATCACCAAGTGGTTCAAGAATATTACCAAAATTAAATTTTACAAAAAATCCATATCTTATGTTGGATGATAATGTTAATGTTGGTGGTAATAATCGATCGATAAATAGCCCTAACGGTAATAATAATGGTGGTTTAACAAGAGCACCACCAATTATGGCATCACAATCAGTTGATGAATATAGTACCGGTTTAATTGATCCAGGTAATTTAGCATTAATGATGGAACGTTCATCATTAGAAAATTTACCATTTCCATCAACAAATGGACAAGTTAATCAACAATTTTTTCTTAATTCATCATCATCATCATCATCAACAGCACAGCAACAAATTTCAAATTCATTATGGAAACAGCAAGATGATTATTGTCCTGGTGGTGGATCAACAACAACAACAGGATCATTAGCTAATAGTCGTCGTGGTAGTACAAGAAGTGGACATTTTCCAATCAATAATTCGAATCAACATCATCCACCAATACAATCATCATATTCATTAGATGTGCCAACATTAGATCGTTTTGGAAATGTACATTATCATAATAATAATAATAATTCTTATCAACAACAACAACAACAATCTTGTTTTAATCATCAATATGGATCATCATCATATATTTATGGCCAACAACAACAATATTCATCATCATCACAATCACAAACATCTTTATTATCAACAGCAGCAACAACAACAACAACATCGACAATAACAACAACAATTTCGAATGATTGTTTATCCAATTCAACGGCGACAACAACAACAACAAATAGAAGATTATCACCAAAAGATTATCAAATTTTTTTACAGAATCAAAGTCCAAATCATAGTTCATTATCGCCTTGTCATCAACAACAACAACAACAACAATCTACAGCAGTAACAACAACAACAGCAAATATTGATGATACAAATTTTGGTCAACAACAACAACAACAACGAAGAAGACAACTTCCAACAATAAAAAGTTTACCATTATTAATCAATGCAAATAATAAACAAATTACAACAGCAAACAATTGTATTAGTGGACAACAAAATAATGATGATAATATAGCGACATCTAATAATATGATTATAAATAGTAATAATAATAATAATGATCAATTACAATCACCATCAAAAACAGCAACAACAACAACATTAATAACAACACCAACAACAACAACAACAATAGGACAAAAACAAAGACAAAGATTATTTCGTCGTTCACCACAACATCCACGTTTATCACGTTTAAATTCATATCATCATCAACAACAACAACAACAACAAACAATAAATAGTGGTGGTAGTAATAGCGGTGTTAATGCGATAAATTCACGTTTATCAGTACCATCATTGCGTTTAACACATTCATTTGATGATGATCATCATCAACATTTACAACATCAACAACATTTACAGCCAAAAATATTATCATCATTATCATCATCAACAATAACATCATCATCGACAACAAATAATAATAATAATCTAATGACTGGACAACATAGACATTCATCACCAACAACACCGGGTGCTTGGATAATGGCACCACCAGGTTATCAACAACAACAACAACAATCAACAATTGTAACACAATCATCATTATCATCATCATCGATAACAACATCACAAACATCATTAACAACTGGATCGATTCATCAACAACAGCAACATTATTCATCAATTTATCATTTACATCGATTATCATCGGTTGATCATCAACAACAGCAACAACAACAACAAATGATACGTAAACAATATTCAGTTGATTGTGTTGATTATAAACCATCAACAACAACAACAACAATGGCAATGATGCAATTATCAATATCAGGTTTTAATAATAATAATAATCAAACGAATCAATTAAATTATCATAATCGTCCATCACCTTATTCGGATTCATCTGTATCGATTAATATTGAACATGATGTTGAATCGACAATTAAAATGGCAAAACAAAGATTACAACAACAACAGCAGCAGCAGCAGCAGCAACATCAACAATTATGGAAAGGATCCGGTTCATTGATTGATAATCAAAATGATTTTCAACAATTTAAACAACCACATCAACATCAGCAATTTTATGGTCCAACAATAAAAACTACTGGACGTAAATTACCGACAATATTTAGTGCATCATCAACAACATCACAATCGGGTTATTTTTGGCGTCATCCAAGGTTTTTTTCCCATAATGATGATAATTAATTTTTTGTTTCTGATTTTTTAAAAAAGAGCCAAATGAAAAACTTGATCAGCTACGCCATTTAGGATTTTAGAATATTAATATTTTATTTTTGAAAGGTTTTTTTGTTCAATTTTAATAATGATTTTTTCTTTGATTTTTCCCCCTCCTTGATATAGAAAATCACTTAGCCTTGAGGATGCTGCAATGGGAACAGGTGAAACGGATATTTATCATCCGAATCAAATATTTCAATCGGCTAATCAACAACAACAACAATCATATGAAGTTAAAAGTGATATTTGTGGACCACATTTATCAACACAAGCATCATTATCATCAAATTCAAGTGCTGGTTGTGGTGGTGGTGTTGGTCCTGGTTCAGATCCAACATCATCATCGATTCAAGTTATTACAAAAGAACCAAAATCATCACCATCAAAAAATTTATCGAACGTTATCGATCAAGATGAAGAAGATATTGAATTAATTAGTTATCTTTGTCGTCGTTATATAAAAGAACAAAAAGATATTGATGAAGAACAAGAACAAGAAGATTTAATTGATTATAAATTAGGTGGTTATCATCCATTAAAAATATTTGATGTTTTAAATGGTCGATATTCGGCAATACTTAAATTAGGTTGGGGACATTTTTCTACTGTTTGGCTTTGTTGGGATATGAAGTAAGTTTATTTTGTTTTGTTTTTGTAATCCAGTGTTAAAAATTTTTTCCTTTTCAAAAAATGTAGAGAAAAAATATTTGTTGCAATAAAAGTAGTGAAAAGTGCCGGACAATATACTGAAACTGCTCATGATGAAATTACATTATTAATGAGGGTATGTGTTTTATAAAGTTTATAAATTGAAATTTACAACGAAAAATTATAAAATTTTTTATAAAATTAGGTTCGTAAAGCTGATCCGGATCATAATGAAGAGATCGTACAAATGTATGATAGTTTTCAAATCAATGGTATTAATGGATCTCGTAAGTTATTATTATTATTTTGTTTGGTTTTTTTTGTTCTGATAAAATTATAATTTTTCATTTTTCAAAGATGTTTGTATGGTTTTTGAAGTACTTGGTTGTACATTATTAGATTTAATTATAAAATCACAATATAATGGTATACCATTGGAAAATGTACGAAGTATAATTAAACAGGTAAGTGGTTTCTGTTATTGTTCATGGTTAATCGATTGATTGATTTTTTTTTAATTCAAAAAACAAATCAAAGGTATTACGTGGTTTACATTATCTTCATCATACTTGTGGTATTATACATACAGATTTAAAACCAGAAAATGTTTTATTAGTTGGTAGTCATGAAATGGCACAAAAATTAGCATTCAAAGCATTATATCGTATACATAATAATATTCCATTACCTGTTTCATATAAATCGAATGCACCGGTTGCACAGATTGGTTTGTATTTTTTTTCGTTTTGTTTATTCTGGGTTAATTAATTTTTTTGATTTTCATTACAACAGAAGCTGAACATCGTCGTATAAAGAAAAAATTACGTCGTAAAAATAAGAAAAAAGCTAAAAAATTAGCAAATACAAAATCAAGTTCAACATCAACAACAAGTTCAGCACCGACAATAATTACATCATGTAATAATAATAATAATACAAATTCGATCAACAATGATGATAATGGACAATCAGTTGATATTGATGATTCAAATTCAATTCGTGAAGATGATGAAATGATTTCATCAAAAACAAATAATAATAATACACTTATAATGGAAAATTTATTAATGCCTGAATTTGCCTGGTTATATGATCCAGGTTATATAAAATATTATGAAGGTATTGGTTATCCGGAATTTGCTGTTGAAATTTTACAATCATCACGACATTGGATACGTAAAGAATTTCAATTAGATAAAGGAAATGAACCTGCATTTGAAATATGTGATGTTCGTGTTAAAATTGGTGATCTTGGAAATGCTTGTTGGGTGGTAAATAATTATTATTCTTTATTCTTTCGATTAAGATTGTTTCATTAATTTTTTTGTTTTGTTTTGAAAATCAATTTTCAAAGGATCATCATTATTCTGAAGACATACAAACACGACAATATCGTAGTCCTGAAGTGATATTACGTGCCGGTTATGGTCCATCGGCTGATATTTGGTCAGTAGCTTGTTTAGCATTTGAATTAGCTACCGGTGATTATTTATTCGATCCACGATCAACATCATCAACAACAAGAGATGAAGATCATATTGCTAGAATGATGGAATTATTAGGACCATTACCACGTGAAGTTATATTTGCTGGTGCACGAAGGCAAAAATTTTTTGATAATCAAGGTATTCATATTGATTTATATTAATATTGGAAATTTTGATTGAATATTGTTTTTATTTATTTTTATTTTGTTTAAAAAAAGGACGATTTCTAAAACGTTTATTTGAAGATTATGATATTTATTCATTATTGGTTAATAATCATAAATTTCCAAAACCAGTAGCGAATATATTTGCCGATTTTTTGGAAACATTATTAAATTATAATCCAACTATACGACCAACAGCATTAGAATGTTTAAAACATCCATTTATGATTTGTGATTATAATTATTCATCAATGTTAGAAATGGTACGTCAATCATCATCACGTAATGATGATGCAAGTGGTGGTGGTGGTGATGGTAGTAATTCATCTGATCGTCATAATCATCATAGTAATAATACAAGCTATAATTCTACCGATGATGATGATGATGATGATAATAATGGATCCGAATCACGTACAACAACAACAACAACAACTAAATGTCATGATCAACGTACTGAAAACCATCATCAACATCATCATCATCATGAACATTATAATAGTTCAGAATTAAGTGGTCGTAGTGGTTGTTCACAAGCAGGTCGTTCAAGAACACATTCAAATAGTAGCCATCATATTAATAATGATAATCAGGAATCTATAAATTTGAATGAAAAAAAATTGAAAAAAAATTCAAATTGGAAACAAAAACAACAATCATGTGATCAAGCTGGTGGTTGTACTACTACTACTACAAGTAGTAATAAATCAATCTGTTGTCAAACATCAAAAAATCATAATATTATTGGTGCTGCTCTGGATGATGAACATCTTAATCATAATGATGAAAATATGATTCAAATTAATGGTGGAACAAAATTTGAAAAATGTTGCCCAAATAATAATAGTAATTTAATGATGAAAATGATGAAAAATTCATCAAAACATAGTGGTCAGTTATTGAATAATAATAATAATAATGATTCGGCTACATCAGAAACGGATGCAGATAGTGATTGATTGAAATTGAAAAACATCAATCAATCAAAATCACTTTATGAATTGATATATGGCATATAAATACACACACACGTATCATCATCTTGTTTGTTTTTTCTTTCATATTTTAAAATCCACCGTATTTTTTTTTTCTTCACCTGATAAAAATTTACTTTCACCTACACACACACATTTGTGATTCTCTCTCATCTTCTCCTCTTCAAATATTATCAGATTGACTCAATTGATCGATTTTCCCTTATTCTCTCTCTCTCTCTCGAAACAAAATTCAGTTGAAAAAATCAGTTAACAAACAAACAAACAAAAAACATTTCACAATTTAATAGTGATCACAAAGGCATTAATAAGGTATTATTATGAATCTCAAAAAACACTCAAATTACCCATTTCTTATTATTCTTTTTAAAATCTTAATTATAATTAATTATAAAAATTATAAAAATTAAATTAATTACACAGATATCTACAACAAAAAAATAAACAAATAACCAGATTTCCTTTTTCAAATTTTACAAAAATTAAATTATCAAATTATAAACAAAAATAAACAAATGTATTTTTCTCACTACTGTTAATGATCGCGATTAAATGAAATGAGATTTATTTAAAAAAAATTACAAATAAAAAATCGAATAATAAAATTATCAAACTCTGAAAAAATTTATTTGTTTCTTTTGCTGTTTTGATTAGTTTTCGTTGATCGTCCTCGACCTCGACCTCGTCCTCTTCCTCGTGGTTGTCTTGGTCTTTGTTCGTTATCATCATCATCATTGTTGTTGTTGTTATCGAAGTTATTGTTGTTGTTGTCGACATCGACATCATTATCATTATCATCATCCTCGTTGTCATCGATTGATTGTAATTTTTCCAATTCAATTTTCATTGTTTCAAAAATTATTTGTTGACATTGTTCAATCAATTGTTCAACTTTATTTGTATTTTCATCTAAATTTGTTGATCCATCAATCTAATTTTTTCAAGAGAAAAAACTTCTTCAATAAGAATTAGCAAATTTTTTTAGAAAACAAACTTACCTGAATTTGTTGAATGATTCGAATAAGATTATCTAATGGATTATTTGGTATTTTTTTAATGATTGAAATCAATTCGGAATTTTGATAAACATCTGCCAATTGTTTAAATAATGGATTAATTTGCATAAAAATTTTAAAATTTTCAAAATTATTTTCATATTTTTGTAATGATACTGTTAATTTTTCATCCAAAAATATTTGTTCATCAATATCTTTTAATTCATTTTCAATTGTTTGTATTTCTTCTGTTTTTTTATTATTATCAATTTTTAATTGTAATATTGATTGATCAATTTTAGCTAAATCATTATCAATAATTTCAATTTGTTTTAAAATATTTTCATTAATTAATTTAAGTGTATCATTATCAATAGTTGATAATTGTTGTTCATCAAGTTCAAGTTCAGAATCTTCTATTATTGAATCTGGTTCATTTCTATATAAAAAAGAAAAAGAAGAAGTTGATTAAAACAATGAATTATTAATACCCCCCTAATACATACTTTGGATTAATATTTTGAATAGATTTTTGTTGTAATTTTTCCAATTCTTTAATTGTTTTCAATATTGGATATAAACGATTTTTAATGAGATAGGCAAATGTTTTAATAATATTATTTGTTGATAATTCATTTTGTCCCATCATTTTTAAATCATGACGATGTATACGAATATTTAATGATAATATTTCAAATTGTAGATTAAATTTTCGCCAAAAATCATCATGTGTTGTTCTTGGATCAAATATCATTGATTTATCACCAATTCGTACAAAACATAATGATACTAAACGAACAAATGTTAAAAATATTGGACGTTTACTAAATTGATAAAGATTAAAATCAATTTCAGCATCGATTATAAATTTATCAATATAATCAAATGCTTGTATACGTGTCATATCTTGAAAATGATTTTCATCAACATTACGTAATATTGTTGATGATGATGATGATGATATTATTGTACGATTTGAACGATGATAAGAATTTGGTGTTTGAATTGGTGTTAATTTTGAACGATGATAATTTGTCTGGACATTGATTGGTGTACGATTATTCCTTTGAATATTGATTGGTGTACGATAATTTTTTAATCTATCCTGTCGATTCGGTGTACGACTATCCATTGTTATTGTTAACGGAATACAAGAGAAACAAACAAAAAACCGAAGAGAGACGACCAATAAATCAATCAAACAAACAAACAATCAGTCAAATGAACGATTGATTGAAAAAAACTTTACAGTTCAATACGATCATAATGACCATGACTAACACAAAAAATGAACAATTAATCAAATGACCACAAAAACAAAAAAAAGTTGGCTTTTATTAAAGTTCAAAAAAACAAACATCAAAATTCATATTATAAATAGTAAATTGTGAATTTGTTTGTGTAAAACATTTATAAATTATAATTATAGATATAATGAGATATAGATGGATAGATAGATAGAAAATGTATTTCAGAAGTTTTTATAACCAAAAAAAAATTGTAATAAGTAGATTATGTATGTTTATAAATACGATATGATAATTTAAATCAAATTAAAAAACAAAACAAACAAAACAAAAAATTAATGGCTGTTAAAACAAAAAAACAATCATCATCATCATCATTTTGGTTAGATGAATGAAATGTGTATCTTATCACAAACAAAAACAAAAAACTTTGAGCAATTTGTTGTTGTTGGTTCAATTAGGATTAATAATTTGATATTGATAATGATCAGCATAAGTGATAATAATAATAATTGCACCATGTACAATAATATTTCGACCATTTTGACGACGTTCAATAGTATTTTTTCGAAAAAATTCATTAATAAATTTAATTGTTTTATTAATTGAATCACGATGTAAACGATATGATTCTTTTAATGTAGATTCAATAGTAGAAATAGTTGGCATAACAAAATCTAATGATTGATTAATCAATGAATCAAGATCAAGAATTTCTAAAATTTTTTTCAATGTATTCATTGGATAATCAACAGCCAATATTTTAAGATTTGGATTTGATAAATTAAATATTAAATCAAGTTTTTGTATTTCAGCATTTAAACTATTCCAATGACGACGTCTATCATTACCATTTGTTACAAATTCAATACGTGATGCTAATGATTGATTTGATGATGATGATGTTGTGGTTCTTGTTGTTGTTGTTGTCGAAATAGATTGACGACGTTGTTCATCATTCACTGTATTTGATTGTGAATTTCGTAATGTTCTAGTAGATGTTGATGTTGTAGATTGAATATTTGTATTAGCTGATGATGATGTTGATGTTCTTTCCATTAATCCAATCTGTTGTTGTTGTTGTTGTTGTTGTTGATCAACTAACATTGGTTGAGATTCATTTTTTCGATCTTTGCCCAAAAATTCAAAAATTTTATCAGTAACCGATTCTAATGTTAAACATTCAAATTGAAATATATTTTTTCCAATAATTAATTGATTTTCAATTTTATTTGGCCAATAAATAATGTTTAATTCATATAAATTAATTTGCATAACAATAATTAATGGTATTGCTTGATATTTAGCATTATCATAAATTTCTGTAAAATAATTTGATTTTGCAATAGATTTTTTATCAAAATTTTTTAAAATTGTTTCTGCCATAACAATTGTACTGTAACCATCATTACGAAATTGTCGAATAAATCTATAAATTTTTTCATATGCAAATAATCTTGAAATATTAAATTTAAAATTTGATTCTGTTTTTGTTGATAAATCTTTATCAATAATATATGGAATAAGTATAATATCAATATTACAAAAACGTGATCCATTCGATGAATTTAATTTCATTTTTTCCAAACGATTTGTAAACATTTTATAATAACATTGATCAAATGTTAATGGTGTATCTAATTTTAACATTAATGATGATTTTACCAATTGTATTAATAAATCCAAATCAATAGAAATACCAAATGCATGTGCTGGTTTAAAATTTTGTATCTTCATTTGTAAACGAAAATTATTTATAACATTATCATATTGTCCACCTGATGCAATCAATTCAGTTTTATGATCAGGTCTTGTAAAAAATCGAAATTGAACAAAAATATTTTTATCATAATAAAATGATTCCGGTGTTAAGCTTAACAGACTGAATCGAAATTCAAATAAATCATTAAAATTTATTTCTTTTTCATTAAAATATGCAGATGATAGAAAACGAATAGCATCCATATATTCGATGATTGGTTTGATTTCATTTTCAAATAATGATTCAAATTCATTATATTTTGTTGATAATTGTTGTAAAATTTGTTTAATTTCAAGCAAAAAATTCACACTAGTTGGTTCACAAATGTTGAGCAAATCATAAAGTATAGCCAATTTTTTGGTATTTACCTGTGGAAACAATGTATTTGTTTCGAATACAAATTTAGCTTTTTCTGTAAGTAAATTTGGTGATTGTGATAAAAGATGTATCAATGAATTAAAATTATCTTGTGGTAATTCAAAATGTTTGAATATTATTGAAAATATATTCAAATTTGATAAATGAATTTCAAATCTATAGGATGGATTATCTGATGACAAAAGTTCACTCCATCTTATAACAAAAGGATCTATTTGATGAGCATTTTTTGTTGATTCTTCGTTAAATTTTGGTAAAAATGTTGGCAATATTTGTATAACAAATCCAATAATTTCAACATAAGGTAAAACCAATAATGATTGACCATTATCAGGAAATATTATATCCAATGAAGATTCATGATGTTGAGTAAATGTATTATCATATTTATAATGTAAATGAAATGTTTTTTCTATTGAAAAATTACGCAAAAATACAATATGTGGATTAGATGCTAAATAACGAGAAAACATTGCACGAAAATGATCAGGCAAAGTAACTTGTGTTCCATCTCGATCGATAAACAAAACACTTTGATCACCAGGCAAATCTTGTAAAAAACTTCTAGTCATCAATAATGGTAATAGCATTTGAGTTGCGCCGAATAATGATGAATGCAATTCAAGAATATTTTTTACAAAATTTATAAACACAAGTTTGTAATTGAAATAGTTTTCAGAATTATGAAGAGGATTAATAATAGATCGAAAATCATATGTTGCATTTTCTCGAATTCCTACTTTACTGTGGAAAATTCTTCTAATCAAATTTTTATAAAGATTAATATCACTTTGTTCCTCTCGGCTAATTTCCTTCGATACTGGACCCCATATTAAATGAAAAGTATCTTCATCTTTATCGATTAAATTCATTATTTCGCGTACTGTTGGTCTATGATATGGATGATATTTTGTCATTAATGTAATCAATTTAAAATCTGCTTCGTTAATCTCTTTTGTTACTTCAATAGGAAGAGAAAGTTTTGGATCTTGAAATTTTGATAAAATACAATGACGTTCCGAATCAGTTTTCATATAATAGGTCATCTCAAAAAATATAAGACCAAGTGAAAAAATATCCATTTTAAAATCAGGTTTATAAGCACCAAATAAATTGGCTTTACGAGCTTCAGGTGCCATATACAAATATGTACCAGCATTCAAACTATAGGTATGATAAGGCTTATTTTCTCGTAACAATGGATTATTATCACCCGAAGGAATTGAATTATCAAGTATAGATAAACCAAAATCACCTACTTTTACATTATAATCAAAATCAAAAAATATATTCGATGGTTTAAGATCACGATGTATTATTCCACTTCCATGTATGTATGCTAAGGCATCACAGATTTCGTTAAATATTCTAAGACGTGCTTCTCTTTCGTCAACAAGTCTTCCGCATCCAATAAAATCAGCTAACGTTCCCATTTCACAATATTCCATTTGAATACATAGAACTTTTCCAATAATTGACATTTCAACATCATCTGAATCATTATCATCTGGATCCACTGACATGTCATACGAAATGGTTTCATCAATAAACCTAATTTTATGTCTAATTGCATTAATATCAGCAGATTCAATCCAAGATGAATAATATCGAACAACCTTTGGATAATTTAATCGAGAAAGATAATGAACTTCTCTCATTATACGTGAAGCTTGTTTATCATCAAATTTAACAATTTTTATAGCATAATATGAATCATCCAATTTATTGGTTGCACGCAAAACAAGACCAAAGCCTCCTAAATAAGCAACAAAAAAAAATGGAAAAAAATTTTAACATTGAAATATAAATACCATACCTTTACCGATACAAGCAAGAATATCAAATTCATTTTCAAGACGAGATGATGCTAACGATTTGATATTGGCTATGGTGGACAAATCAAAATCATCATCTTGATCTTCGTTCAATGGATAACGAACCGATGGAATTTTTAATATATCGTTTTCACATGCTGTAATATAATCATGTGCCGAAATGGCTGAAATTGTTGGCCGTTTATTATAATCCGAAGCCATACAAAGCAAAAGCAAATGAATCATTGATTTATATTCAGGTTTTCTTGCAAATGGTACCAATTTTAAATGTTGTTCGGAACGTATTTCATTTTCTTTTACAATATAATTATCAAAAGTCGGTGGTAATGGATTAATATTAAAATCACTATTCAATGCCAATATAAAAGCACCAACATTAAATATTTCATTCAAAACAATATGAAACATATAGAAATTATTATCAAGAAAATTTTGACAAGTCAATTTTCTTATCGAACGTTCTTCAAAATTGATCAATTCACGAACAACGATTGGAATCAAATTAATAATAAATGTATCAACAAATGCATCATAAAGTTTTAATATTCCACCTGGTCCAATAAATATTTTATCACAATCAAAATGACCATAAAACATATCATTTTCGGATAATAATGTCATAGCTTCAATAAATGAAATTAAAATTCTTGATTTGTTATGTTCTTGCAAACAAATCGGATCATCAATAAAGCTATTAATCCATTGAATATGATCGAATGATATCATAGTATTTGTATCGGGAAAAGCTTCTTTAACAATTGAGATCGACATTTTGGTCGGTTTTTTCGATAATGATTCAGAAATTGACCAATCAATTTTAAAATTATAATAATAGCTTAAAAATTTACTTGGATTAATTTCTTTTTTAATTTTTGAAATCAATAATATTCCAATAGTATTTATAATAGATGACATTCTTGTTTGAAATTCTGAATAAAGATCACCCAAATTATTAGCCAATAATTCAAAATTATATTCTAATTGTGAATATCGATATTTTTCATCATTTTCAGTAAAACCATCATGATCATAAAATGATGAATGAAAATAAAAATCACCATAACGATAATGAATATAACGACTTTGTTTCAATAATAGATTACATTTAATTGATTTAGATGATTTAAATGTTGAATCAAAACAAATCGATGAAATTGGAGGCGTAATCAATGATTGACCAACAAGTGATTCAATAGTAATTAAATCTAATTCAACAGCAACCATTTTTTTGAATTTAATTTTTCCCAATTCTTTTAGAATAGCATTCTCAATTGGTGGATCATCATTAGCATATGTTTCTTTAAACATTAATTCTTCTTCATAATTTACTGGTATCGGATCAATAGGTTTAGTTACAAGTTTCATAATTAATTTGGCAGTTTCATTTAAACGAAAAATAGTATCATCATCATTAATATTGTATAAATATTTTACAAATAATTTCATATAATATATTAAATTGAATAAGCAGCCAATTTTTGTATAATATTCTTTACAAAATTCTTCAATAATTCGATTCAAACGCATAAGATGAACCGGATTGACTGGTGACATATATTTTACAGTAGTTTTTGGATAATATCCATTAATATCAATATCTAACCAAATTTCAGAATCGGTTGGACGTTCAAGAATTTCTTTGAAAATGATAATTTTTAATTGAATATAAACGGGTGAAAAATCACCTAATATTTCTTTATCTTCAAGATATTTTTTCTTCATTGCGATAATATTTTCATTTTTTTCAATTGAATACAATATTTCACCATTAATTACTAATTTTACAGTTTGTTCATAAAAACTGGCAATTAATGACAATACTGTTTCACATCTACGATATGAATGTATCATCGATGGTGTTTCACCATAATAAGTTTTAAATTGATCTAAAAGATCAACAATTTGCATACAAATTGTTGGATCCATAACCGAAAAATAGACCTACAAAACAAAATAAATCTAAAATTCGGATAGATTTCGAAAATCATCGATCAACTTACCTTTGATCATTCGTATTTGGAAAATACGAATTTAGTAGAAAATCGACAACTGGAATGTAGTTTATAAGAAACGAATTCAGAATAAAACAACAGGTAATTGCGAAAAAAAATTGCCAAGAATATATTATCAACTTAGTAGAATTAGTCGAGAAAAAAACGCGAATTAAAGAAAAAAGAATTTCGAACTTATTCGTTCGATTTTATGTTCATCACATGTGCACAAGAAGGTACAGTCATCGCTCGAAAAAAAACAGGGTTTGCTAGTTATATTCGAAACCTTGTTATACCGAGTACCGCCAGTACGAAGGGTAACTGTATTTGTATTTGGAAAAGAAAAATGAGCCGAAACTATTTCGACTTAACCTATGTATATACACAGCGCAACAGATTGATTTTTGAAATTTTTAAAAAATTTAAAAATTACTTTATAATTTTCAAATATTTTTAATTCAAACAAACAACAAAAAAAATATTAAATTATATTCAAGAATTTATAAAAGAATATTTATTTTAAAAAAATTCATTCAATTTTCAATAATTTTTGTTTTGTTTTGTTTTTCTTTCCACACGTGATCACATTGGATTGAAATAGTTTGTTGTTGTTTGTATATTTTTCATTTAATAGATGGCGGTATTTGTTTTTTTCAAATTTTCATTTTCAAATTTTGTCAATATATTTCCAATATTTTAATTGCTGCTTTTATACCTGTCCATGTTTCTAAACATGTTGGTATAATTTGCCAAATTGGTAATTGAAAACCATATGTACCTGTATCACGTAATTCAAGTGCAAATGAATTTTTTACCTGTAATTTATCATAAACATAATCAACACTAGCACCAGATGCTAAATCTTTTAGATATTTAAAACAAAAAACAAAACATTTTGACTTCTACAAATTACAAATTTAAACATATCACTTACAAATTACATCGGCAATTGAACCATATTTATATTGTGTACCATATAATGATCGTATTGCATTGACAGCAGCTTGTGATGCTGATCTCTTTTTTTTTGTGATCAAAATTATCAAATTAATTACAAAATAAATTACAAGAAAATAATAATTATTATTATTATAAACAAACTAACCAAACGATTATAATCATTAATACGTTTAGATGAATAACCATATGGAAACATCCATAATTGACTATAACTATGTATAGCAAAATAGGCAAAAATTTTTCCATTATATTTTTGTAAAAATGTAGCCATTTGTCGGGTTTCAATTTCAGAAAATGGTCGTTTACCACAATAAATATCTGTACAAGGATCATATGATGAACCTTTTTGACACCATGAACTATCCCAGCTAATTGAGGGTAAAAAAAGGAAGCAAAATCAAATAAAATTTGTATTGAAAAAATTTTGAAAAAATTTACTTTCGATTTGGATCAGCACCAATACAAAATGAACCATACTGTCTTGAACGAGTTTTACGCCATAAACGTTGATGTGTATGTGTAAAAACATAACCATCAACATTTACGGATGGTATTATAATAAATTGATAATGATCAATCAATGATGTTAATTGACTAGTAGTTGATGAGGATAATAAATGACCAGCTAACCATATACAGAATGCTGGTGATATCCATTCACGTGCATGTATACCACATTCAACAAAGATTATTTTCTGGTCGCTGCTGCTGCTATTATTATTCATCATTAAATTACCAATTTTAATACCGAAAATATTACGTCGTTCATATGAATAACCAATGGATATTTTTTCAGCCATTTTTGGATCTATGTTTTCAATTGATTGATTGAAAATTTGCATAAAAATTTGCATAAATAATATACATACATTTATTGGCCAGATAATCAATTTGTGAATATAATTCATCATATGTATGATAATTTCCATAATCAAATTGATCATAATAATAATCATTTACATTTACATTTGCTGATAATGATCGTTGATAAAATAATTTTTTAGCTAAATTAATTTCCAGATTTTGTTGTTCAATAATTTTTTTATAATTTTCACTGATAATATCATAATTAATATTTGATTGATTTAATTTAGATTTTATAAATTGTTTTTGTTGTGGATTAATAAGTGTTAAAATTGATTGAAAATTATTATTATTATTATCATTATTTTGTTGAATAACTGGTTGATTCCAATAGTCCAACTGTTTATTTACAAAAAAGAAATTACAAATTACAAGTAAAAATTACAAAGTAAAAATTACAAAATTACAAATTCTCACCTGATAATCATATTGAAATTGTTTAATCAATTCAATTTGTTTATTATTGATTGGTTTAATACGTAACAATTGATAACCATCATAATCTAAATGTGCATCATCATCACCATTATTACGATGAAAATCAATCGTTGATTCTGTATTCACCACTGTAATGATGAATAAGAAAAAAAAATGTAACAACATTTTTTTTTTGATTATCAATTGAATTTTGAAAAATCAAACTGCAACAATCAAATTTTAAATCATTTTTATATTGAAATTTTGGCTACTTTTTCAAACATCATATTTCCGTTTTGCAATCAAAAAAAAATCAAAGTTTACCTTCAAATCTTTGATAATCCGGTCATATTGTTTGTCAATGATTACAGTATTGGGTTAAAATGGCCATCAAAATTTTACCCCGAAACCAAAAAATGATTTAACCCAATTTTTTCTCTACTGGTTGGCTATTTTGATTTTCAAAACAAAACAAAAAAACAAACCAAACAAGGAAGTAAGATGAGATCCAATCATCATCATCATTATTCTAATATACTAATCAGTCAAATGGAATCTATCGATCGATCCTATTGATTGATTGATCGATTGATTTCTATCAAAGAAAAAAANAAAAATATGAAAAAACCCTTCAAATGTTCGTCTATGTTAATATTCTTGGGCGTTTTCAGGAATTTTTTTCAGCAAACAAACAAAAAACATGCAGAGATAAACAACAACAACAACAGAATCCTACAGAATTTTGCAGTAGCAATGAAAAACAACTGGCAAAAAACCAAACAAGTTAAAGAATTGCAGACAAGAAAAAGAAAAAAAAATTTGTAAAATTTATTTGATGAACCAGCAGTAGTTTTCCATTTCATTCATCAATCAAACCAAACCAAACCAAACAGAACAAAACAACAAAACAACAAAAAACGACAGAACAGAACAGAAAAACCGAAAACACTGAATGTAAAATGTGTATTGTCTGAATGGAACGGGAATGGATCAATTTGTTTGATTAGATTTTCCTTTTTTTTTCGTTTTTTCGTTTTTAAATTATTCGATTTACAATCCAAAATTTCTAGTTTGTTAATAGTAACAATCATTTTTACAAATTGGATACATTTACAAATATTTTTTTTTTATTCCTTATTCGTCTTTTTTTTACTAAAATAGATTACATATTATAAATCAAAATGAATGAAAATCTTTTCAAAACGAAAAATTCAATTTCAAAGAATCGATAAAATAATAGCCAAAAAAAAGTGTTTATATAACCATACGAAACAAAACAAATGTTTACAGAAAAACCCACACAAACAAACAAGAGAGAAAGAATATTCTGTTTTAATACAAATAAATAAAATAAGGTAATTTTTCACACAATATTCTCTCTCTCTCTCTCTCTCTCTCTCTCTCTCGTCGAAATTCTTTTTCCAAAAAAAAACATCTGGATATTTGTATCCAAATAATTACAAATGGATACAATCAAACAACATCAATCAACAGCATCAATCAATCACATTTAAAAACGAAACGTAAACACATGTCTTTTCATACATTTCACTTCAAATTAATACCAAAACATCAATCCACATGGAATATTCTCTATCCATATGGTTTCTTTTTTTTGGATTTTCAAAATGTTTTTTCGTTTGTTTTGTTTATTTTCAACAAATCAGAAATCAGAAAAATAACAGAATTTTTTTTTTTTGCCCAAAATAACAGAATGTTTATTATCACGCATGCGCATTTTCTTTTTTTTTTCATTATTCTATATTCATTTCTGTCTGCTTGTGTTTCTTGGAATTCTATTCTTGGTATTCATATCGTATATGAACCTGATGAAACCGGAATATTTTTTTTTTGAACATTCATTCGTTCCTTTGCTTTTTCTGGTTGATATATCTTTGGTCTGTTGGTTCAATAATAATACTCCTACTCAATGAAAATTTTTCTGGTTGGTTGATCGGTCTGTTGGTTGGTTAGTTCACAGTTGTTTCAGTTGAAGAAACCAAAACAGAATTTGAACAAGCAAAAAAGCAAGAAAAAAAAACTTGAGGAAA